TGAAGGCGCCAGCTGATGGTAGCAAAGGATTTGGACCAAAACACTGTAGAAAATAAAGTAGGAGATGTAGGATGAATCTAGGTTTTAGAAGTTCTTCCCAGTCAGGCTTAGAATTGATGTATGAGACAGGAGGGGGCCATGATGGTGGATGAATGACATCTTTTAATTAAATTAACCTGGCAACATTGCAGAGGTGAGACTGGGAGAAGAGTCTGGATTCATTAAGCTTATTGAATTTACTCATGTCTGTGATGCTGTGGGCCTGAACTCTGCCTGTCCATAATTCTGGTGGGAATTGAGAGAGCCCCATTCAATTTCAAAAGGGACTAGCCACAAGAGTGAGGAGAATTTGAATGTTGAAAATTATTTCACAAAGTGCTATTTTGTTCCTCAGCCAGTCCCTTCCCTATTAAATCATCTTGAATGTGTGTTGTTGTTTTGTTCCTAAGCTGCTTAATATTTCTTTATCCCTTATAAATGACAGTCTCCATAACCCCACCCCATCTATACTTTATCATTTTCCCTTTTAATCTTAAACTAAAAATGTGCTCAGTGGGTACTCTCTGATTGTTAATTGGAATGTCCACTGGTGAACCGTGCACAGTGGTGTTGTAATTACTTCCCAGTATCTTTTAAATTTTTTTCCCCTTGTTCACATCTGAAACTGAAAATATCTGCTCAACCCTTGATCTCAGCAATTAGTTAAGTGGTATGCAGCTGGTTATCTTGAGGCGGGTTCAAACACTTACTCATCTCTGTTTGGATCTGAATGGGAATTTTCTCAAACAGTGACACTTGTAATTAGTGTGTGGTTGCAAGAAAGTTCTTCAGGAGCAGTGGTTCTCAAAGTGGGTCCCCAAATGAGCAGCATCAGCATCATCTGGGAAACTGTTAGAAATGCAAAATCTGGGGTCCCCACCCTACTAAGTAAGAAACTCAGAGGGTGGGGCCCAGCGAGATTTTAACAAGCCCTTCAAGGGCATGTCAAAGTTTGAGAATCACTGCCCTGGAGAAGTAGCTTCACAGGGCGAGGAACTCAACTCAGGAAGGTAGAAAAACAGATGTTTGGAAGCACCAGGGTAGTTTAAGACTGAGAAGAGGGGCTAATATTTCCCTGTTGGAGATGAGGCAGACATTCAGAGGAACTACTGCAAGCAGTAAGATTTTGTGCTTAGCCCCTGTCTTCTGAAGAAAAACTTGGGTAGCCCTCTCTTGCTTTGTGCTCTGGAAAGGCAAATTTTTAAGTCAGTCTTCTGGAAGGTCTGTTGAGTCTTCCTTTCAAGGGTCTTTGGAAATTACATTACTAAATAAATGAAAAAAGACATACATTTCCCAATGTGTGTGAGTCTCATTTTCCTCTATAGAGATATATAAATACTGAGGATGTACTTATTTGATGTTCAATAGGAAGTAGGAGTTTGCATTTCAATCTCTATCTTTCACTGAACTTTTACCCTGTAAGAAACAGCTCTTTCCTGAGGTTCTCTTGAAGGAGCTCCCATCATACCGTCTTGGTCAAAATGCTAAATTTGCTTAAGGTTTGGTTTTAGTATCACCCTTGATCCATGGACTGTGGGAGCCTAGGAATCAATAGTCTGTAGTCTATCACATATCTTGTATCCTCTAGTTAAGTCCTTAGTTACCCAAGAATAATGTGGGGTAAGTTGGTTGTCTGCTCCCAGAGTCAGAGCTAGTGTCTTTCTTTGGGTTCTTAAAAACTCCACCTTTTTTTTTTTCTATTGGCAGCATATGCCCATGTAAAACCTTTTCTGACATGGGCATGCCTTGACAGATGGCAATCTAAGTCTGTGTGCTCTAGAGTCACTTTTCTCTGTAGTTTTTTTTTTTTTTTTTTTACATAAGTTCTTTGCTAGCTCTTGCAATATCTGTGCATCTAGACAAGGAAACCCTCCTAGTTTACACAAGAAGGAAGAGGTATTTGTATTTCATTCTCCATCCTGCAATGTACAATAAGCATTAAGATAAAGTCTTTTGAGGAAGAAAATAAATCCTGGTTGATATGGCCAACCCTTTTATTGTTGAGTTATGTATTCTCTTTTTCAAAAAAAACCAATGCACTTTTCTGTGAGTTGTTTCCATTTGGGGAATGAAACAATGGGGAATCTCCCCTCTGTGGTCTCTGTGTGAGTTCATGAACTTAAGGCACTTGGAGAATTTATCTCAGAGAGGATCTTCATAAACAGTTCTGTTTGCCACTTGAAAAAATAAGGCAGAACATTTTTCCTTGGGGCTCTAGTGGCTAACAAGACATAGCAAAAAAGGAATATAAGATGCATTCCCTGATTACTGTGGTCTTACCTGGGTCTTTCATCCCAGGGTTTCCCGCTTCTCTCCATGCTCCTGCCCCCTCATATTACCAGGATGTATTCATATTACTCGGGAACTTCAGCCAGAGGAAAAGCCACCTGCACTAGCAGCGTAATTTACTTCTTTTATTATTTCAGCTCAAAGTCTAGGACGTGAAGAGTGATCATGAAACAATGATTAAGTCAGTTCTAAATTTTTGAAATAGGGACTAAAGAAAAGGCCTTTAATGGCTTCAGTATTGTTTTTTGTAAATCAGGGGTATTGTGGAGGTGTGTTTTTCAACATTGTTATCTCTGGCTTCAAGCCCTCTTGTTGTTGCCATTGAATATGAACAATATTGGTGGAAACAACAGAAATGACCAGGAAGGCAAGGGACAGTGGAGGGAAGTCACTACAGTCTGATTCCTTATACTCTTTTGAGGATCTGTTGCCATTTATGTTGAACTGAAATATCCTCAGTGGCTTTGAATCCACATCTCTGCCCTACTCTTTCTTTCTCTATTGCAGTCTAGCAAATACTTCTCTAACTTGATGTAATTTCAAGGGTACCACCGAATTAACTACATAGGCCATGGAATTGATAGGAGATAGAAAGTCATGAGGCTCCCAAATATGCCACCAATAATGACTGTGAGGGCAAAAATTGTTTGGACTTGGTGAAGTGATCATGAGTTTTCTATGATAGACTTGGAAACCAAGCCTCCCTTTGTCTGTTTGTACATCAATCTTGATGAATACGAGATTAGTGTGCACAGCTAAGTCCCAGCTGGCACACATGCAATGTTTACCTACAGATCTCTCCATCCTCACTCACTTACCCTCTTACACACACATACCCCATTTATCCTTCAGTAATACATCCTGCCAGTGGTCTCAATAGCACAGAGATGCATTGTCTTTTCAACCCTGGAATCTCTAGTGGATTTCTGGCCAACCTAGTTCATGCATATCTTTTCACTGCAACTAAGGTGGCTGGGAACTCTGATCCTTGTAGACCTTGTGAGTCTTGTTTGTAAAACAAAACCAATCCCCAGCATGGTCTGAGAATTACAGAAGTGTCACCAGTTAACTGTAGGCCTGGATTTTCCTTTTTTCATCTAAATTAGTACCTCTGTAGGGGAGCAGGCAAAGAACCTTGGTAAGCCATGATGTTAACTTCTTTTGCTTCTGCCTCCTTTCAGCATTGGATAACCAAATTCCATGCTGTCTTTCTTCCTACTTCCCTACTTTATTGAAAGTTTGGAAATTGTCATTTTTTAAAAAAATAAAAACTGTTTTTCAGTGTTGTTTTTTGTTCAGTCCGCTTAGTTTGTAAATGCAAATATAAGTTACTCTGAATACTTGTCTGGAGGTATTTCCCCATATTTGTGATTTGGGAGATGACAAAGGGTATGTTTGACTTATAGTAGAGATGAAGAATGCATAAACCCAGTGCATGTAACATGATAGGAAATTCCCATAGACTGACTTACCCTGCCTCTAAGAGGGCTCCATGTTCCTATGCTGCCCAGATTCCTGCCTGTTGAGCAACCAAGCATTTTTTTTTACAGAAGTACAACTATACTAACTGGTATTGCATACAGTGATTGCCAAGTGGCAATCCTGGGAAATCCTTCATCCTGCACATCTCTAACTAGTTCTCTCCCAGAGGGAGGAGGTTCACATTGCTTCCCTTAGGGGAAAGTATTTTGCTTCTCCTTGTACTCTCTTCCGTGTCCTTCATTTCATCCTCTTTATATTCCTGGCCTGGATGTAACCATTTGCGTACTGATAATGATATATTATATGAATTTTCATTCACAGCTTTGAGATGCTTGTGAGGCTTTCCTGCTTCCCACCCAGTCCAAACTTGGGACTTTTCACACACTGATTCTCTAATCAGTTTGACTTGGGAAAGCACACAGAAGCCTTGTACCAGTTTGTATAGTAGTACACTTTGGAACTGCCAACTCTTGAAGGAGGATGTGCTAGGGGGTTGCATTGGCTGCTGGACACACATACAAAGCCAATTAACATGCATGTCAAAAAAATTAACCCTCAGAGTACTGTTTCAAGTTTTTGGTTTAATGGTCTTGAATTTGACCTGTTGGACAATGCTTCTTTCTCCAGACTCAAGTCCTGCACAGAAAGTCCACATTGAGTCTAGCCAGGACATCACCAGGATCACATAACTTCTTGAGATGCTCCTGGGTTCTTTTTCTATTAATCTTCTAGTGGCTTTTTTAAAAGTTCCAAGCCACAGCCACTGGAGGGCATGAGGAACTGTGTTCTAAATTTGGTATTGTCCTCTAAAAGAAAGAAATCAGTTCTTTAAGGGTTAATATGAAATTAAGGAATTTGGAGGTCCCTCCTGCTTGACTTTCCCCCAAGGTATCTGCATGATCCTTTTTAGAGTCTTAGTTCAACTGCTGAATGATGATTTTAAAATATATACATATAATTACCACAAAACCCCCAAACAAATAAAAGAACAAAACACTGAATGGTTGAATGGAAAGATGCCCTTGGCAATGCTTGCTTGATGAACTTAGGGGGTAGAAAGACCAAATGTTTTCTTTTATGAACATTTATCTCATCCTCTACCGCAAGCACTGCCACTTTTCAGCATCGTGGGAGCCTGGATGATACTGCCTGTCATTTACCTCTTGCTTTTTCTTCTTCCTGTCTAATAGCCCAATAGAATCCTGCCAGAATTTCTACAAAGATTTCACATTACAGATCGACATGGCTTTCAACGTGTTCTTCCTTCTCTACTTTGGCTTGCGGGTAAGTGTGTGCCATGTGGCTCAGCATCACCATGGGGCAAACCAGTCTAGGACCCAGGGACCATCCCTGACAGTGTCTGCTCTCACTAGCAAGATGAAACCCAGCATTTCCAGGAGGGACAGCATACCTGCATTCTAACTTTCAGTCTGCGAGAGAGCCCTTTCCTTACCTAAACATTTTATGGAATATATGTCAATTTTGTTTCAATATGGGAGAAATTGGGATCGAGATCACAATGAATCCTTCCACTGGCTGGATGGTTTCTTGTCTCTCTATTCAAATAATGCATCACTCCCTTAAAAATTAAATAGGAAAATACCCTTCAGATCTTAAAATTATGTTTAGCCATGCTCACTTTGCTGAGCCCCAAGAGGGTGGTTGTGAGGATGAATCGGGTAGGTTGGCAGAATTTGGGACTTGGAGGATTTGTGCTAGGATTTATGAAGAGTGCCATGCAGAATGTGGATTACAGAGATGTGTGTGTGTGTGTGTGTGTGTGTGTGTGTGTGTGTGTGTGAATGGATATATACATATGTGCTTTATGGTTATATTTATATTAGCAAGTCTAATCAAAGTGCGATAATTCAACTTTCCCCATGAAGTTGTTGAAAATCATAGAAAAACATACTGCCCAATCTTTCTCCAAGACTAACATAGCATATAGTTGGTCTAAATGGGCACTAGAAAATGTTGTGTGTTTGACCAAATAAGCATGGAGTTGGTGTGACTTGAAGAGAACTTTTCTCCTTCCAGACTCCTAAAAAGAAAATTTTACCCTTTGAATAAAGAGTATAGGTTGAATGCCAGCACAATGCTTCTCATTTTTTTCTCATATTTCTCTTTCTCCCAGTTTATTGCAGCCAATGATAAGCTGTGGTTCTGGCTGGAAGTGAACTCTGTAGTAGATTTCTTCACGGTGCCCCCTGTGTTTGTGTCTGTGTACTTAAACAGAAGTTGGCTTGGTAAGTCAATCTCTTTTCTTTTTACTGGTTCCTGAGCCATGGCTGAAATGTAGAATCTACAGTAGACCAGGGCTGGGCTGTCCTCATACAGAGAAAGTTTTATGTATCCATATGAACAATTTTCTTGGAGTTTTAGAAGTTGATGGTGGCAGTTCTCTTTGGAGCACTAGTCCAGAAAGATTTGCAAAGTTCATGCTTCAGGTAATACAGTTTTATCACTGTTGAAGCCCAGAGGTCATCACTGTCACAGTCAGGGCCTCCGTGTTCATGGCTCTGTCACTTTTGATTCAGGAACTTGGAGTCAGGACTGGATTAAGAAGCCCATGGGGAGAAAGCCAACTTTCTGAGTTGTTCAGCCCCTGCAGAGGCCTGTCTGCCAAAGTTAGTTTCTGTCTGCTTCGGAGTTTTACGAAGAGTGGGTTCATTGTGGGCTATTTATAGGCACAAGGTTCTTTGTGGGGCAAGGAGAGGTGAAGTTTCTTGAGTCACCTCTCACCTTATAGGAGGCTGGATACCTTTTCTGTGTGAAGGGGAGAGTTGTTGCTGGTACGGAGCTTCACAGGTCATTTCCTTTATCTGCTCACAGTTTACTTCCTATAGGACTAGGATGATTTGGTAGGGAAAGTAACTTGCTCAGAGAATGGTCTTGGCATCCAGGAGCTTAGAAAGACAACTTCAAGTTTCTCTCGGCTACACTGATTAAATTTTACCCTTGAATTCAAAGTATTCTTGCTGCCATGGGGTCTCCTGGGGAAGAAGGGAGGTTGAAACAGGACTTGGAGAACTGTTGTTGGGGTCCTGATTTGGGGGATTTTTTTGCCTTAACTTAATTATTTTTAAAGTAATATGTATGTGTTATAATTAGTGAAAACCAAGATATATTAAAAAATTAGTCTCGTGACCAGCCTGGGCAACTTGACGAGACCTTGTTTCTACAATAAAAATGAAAAAAATTAGCCAAGCGTGGTAGCACGTGCCTATAGCTCCAGCTACTTGAAAGGCTGAGGCAGAAGGATCACCTGAGCCCAGCAGGTCAATGCTGGGGTGGCTGTGAGCGTGCCACTGTGCTTCAGCCTGGGCAGCAGAGTGAGACTCTGTCTAAAAAAAATAGTTATCTCTTCTCCTTGCATCCATCACAGCCTTCTCCTAGAGTTGCCTAGTGTTAATAGGATGAATGTGCACATATAATAGTGCTTTAGAGGTAGTGGTGTTTGTATAAGAAATTGTATTACATAATTACAGTGCACTGCAATTTGACTTTCTGACTAATAAATGATGGGCATCCATTCAGCTCTGTGATAGCCCATTTGATAACAGTTGTGTAAAATTCCATAATTTGTACCACAGTGTCCTCAGCCATAACCCTAATGATGGACCATCTGGATGTTTTCTTTTTTCCTGTTTTGTTGCCATAAACAATGGTTTAATAAACACCCTTATTCATATATTTGTACAATTCTATTTCCATAGATAGTTCTAGGTTCCTGGGAGAGGAATTACTGACTCAAAGGATATGTATGTTTTCTTTTGTATTGTATTGATGGATTCAACAAAATGTTGCATCAAGATATGCTTCTACTAACAATCAATTTTGATGCCATTGCTAGCACTGTAAATTTGTTATATACCTAGTATCATGTATAACAAATAAAATAAAAATAAGCATCTTTTTAATTTAATGTATATGATAATCTCTCTCTCACACACACACCTGCATGTATGTATGTGTCCATAACAATTCCATTTGCTGCTAGTTTTCTCATTAGAATTGTATTCTCTTGCTCAATGGAAAAGTTTACAACTTTAGACTGCTTAGATTGGATTTTACAGCTAGCATGATGAGGCCGTTTGAGACGTATAAAAACCTGAGAAGTGCCCTGAGTGTAACCTACATGTGGCTGGGTGCCAAGGGTCCCAGCCACCCCAGTTTAGCTAGTAGCTAACTTTGTGACCTGGGGAACTCATTTTTCTTCACTCACCCTGTTGTTTTTTCATCTGTGAAATAAAGGTTAGACTGGATGATCTTTAAGGTTCTCTCAATTCTGAAAGCCTTGAAGATTCTTGAGTCATTACTAGGAAATTTGGGATCTAGGTCATTGGGGTGTACTGGGAAGTCAGTGAAATTAAATCACCAACATCCCTGAGTCAGAATTATGGATGAGCTGTTAATTGGGGCTCTTTTTAAAACATCCTGTTGCTAACAGTTTAAACACATACCCATGCACACACATAGGGAAGGAGAGGGCAGGAACCTGCCTTCTTTGCCTGACTATTCTTAATTTCTTGGTGCACTTGAAATACCACTTGCTTTTCCAGATCCTTAGTTTCCCCATCTGAAAAATGGGGGTTTGGACAAAATTATCTTTTAGTCTTCATACTTCATGAAACTGAAGTTTATGCTGGGTGCCCATTCTCCTTTGGTCCATGGCCCTAGATGGTTGAAGAGCCCCTCATGACTGTGGTGGGGATGTCTTCCTTTGCAGTGAGCAGAACCTGTTACAGGTAAAGGTATGGAATGGTGTCTCCTTGCTGTGAGTAAAATGTGAGGTAAAGGTATGGAATGTTTCTATGGAATGCTGTGAGTGAAATGTTTCCTAAAGCATTTTTGTGGCAGGAGTTGTTGGATGCTTTGAAATCTAGAACTCTTTGTGGATGATTTAATCCTGATTTGGAGATATACTCTGATCTAGTGAAAAGTCTATCTGAGCAAACAGAAAAAAGGGAAGAAAAATACTAGAAAAGGATATAGATGAGGTTCATCTGAATTTCTACTGTGATACATCTTTGCATCAATAGTGGTTGCTGCTATTCTAATTGGTCTTCCCTGGTAGGTAGTCTGACCTTTTTCTCTTGCTGCCTTTAGGATTTTTTTAAATATATCTACTTTGTTTAGGCAAATTGTTATGTGTCTAGGAGTTGGTCTTCTCATTTGTTGTCTTGCAGGGGTTCTCTGAATCTCTTGTGTTTGAATTTTTGCATCACTGATGAGATGAGAGAAGTTTTCTTGAATGAATTCATGAAATGTTTGTTCCAGTGTGGCTTCTGTTTCTTTTTTTGCCTCAGGAAGCCCAATTACTCTTAGGTTTGGTCTCTTGAAGTGATCATTCATCTCTTGCAGGTTTTGTTCTGTCTTTTTGAGCTTCTTTTCTATGCTTTTGACAGTTTGGGTTAGTTCTGTGTTTTGGTCTTCGTGCTCTGAGATTCTTTCTTCTGCTTGGCTGATTTTGCTTTCCATGCTTATTAGTCTGTTGTTCATTTCCATCACAGTATTCTTTACTGCTGTCATTTCTGACATCAGCTCCTTCCTATTTTCCTCTTGTCTCGCCTCAATTTTTTAAATTCTCTCCATTCATGTCTTGATGTCTGGGTTTGTTGCATGTAACCAGTCATTCTGGGGACTCTTCATTGTTTGTGTTCCAGAATCTGTTTTCTAAGTGTCTGATTCCCCAGGGGTCTGTGTAAGACCTATATTCTTCTTTTGGTTTTTCTTCATTTGTGCGGTTTTTCCCCCTCCCTACTTTTTCCTTTCCTCCACGTCACTGTCTTCTTTAATTCTGTTATTCAGGGGTAAAGGGATTGGTTTTACTTCTGTTTGTTCAATCTCCTATTCTTTATGTATGTCCTCTTACTTTGTTCAATTCTGAAGTTGCACTGTAGGTTGGAGGCAAATTGTTATGTGTCTAGGAGTTGGTCTTCTCATTTGTTGTCTTGCAGGGGTTCTCTGAATCTCTCGTGTTTGAATTTTTTGCATCACTGATGAGATGAGGGAAGTTTTCTTGAATGATTTCATGAAATGTTTGTTCCAGTGTGGCCTCTGTTTCTCTCTCTGCCTTAGGAAGGCAAATTACTCTTAGGATTTTTCTCTTGAAGTAATTGTCCATCTTTTGAAGGTTTTGTTCTGTCTTTTTAAGCTTCTTTTCCATGTGTTTGACACCTTGAACTCAAATCACTCTATCAAAAAGATACCTGCACACGTATGTTTATTGCAGCATTGTTCACAATAGCAAGAACCTGGAACCAACCATGCTGTCCTTCAAAAAAGGACTGGATTAAAAAAACGTGGTACATATACATGATGGAATACTATGCAGCCATAAAAAAGAACAAAATCATGAATTTCACAGCAACCTGGATGGAACTAGAGTCTATAATACTGAGTGATCTTTCCCAGCAACAAAGATCTGAGTATCACATGTTCTCACTCATAAGTGGACCTTGAACTTCTATTGTAATACTATAAGAAAAGAATCAACAGTGGTGGGAATCTATGGGGGGGGTACAGGGAGGTCAAGGGTGGTGGGATTAATGGTAGTCAATATCTCTCTGGGGATAGGGGGACACCCCTTATCAACAAGGGTGTCTGAACAATGCATATTTGTATTCCTAACCCTTTTTAAAAAAAATAGTGGTTGCTTTTCAAAAGACATGGGCTCCAAAAATGTGCTTCAATTTGTTTATCAATTGAACAATATTTATTGATCACCTACTACATATCAGGCATTATTCCAGATTGGGAAACAATAGTGAAGATAATAGACCTGTCTTTTTTTTTTGCAGTGTGGGGAAAACAGAACCTAATAAATAAGTAAATGATACAGTATTTTAGGAAGAATAAGTGCTCTTGAAATAAAGAACATAGACCTATAACCTTTTGGGTCATCGAGTAATAATAATAACAAAAATAACCTCTCTCCTCTTGTAGGAGAAAACACCCTTAATGAAATGCATTTGGTTCTTTGGTAACTAATCTCCATGGGTGAGATTCAAAACTGATCTGCCTGTTATGGAAGAGAATTCACTATAAAAATATTTCTAGGAAGTTCCTGCCTGATTTAATACATAGGTTACTACATCATGAAGCAATTATTGTAGTGATTAGCTGCCAGAGAGAAAATGAACATTCCCTTGAGGTATGACTTATGAAGGAGGAGGAATACTCTTATTAAGTAGGGGCATTTTGGGTGGGTCTGCCCTTCTCCTGATAAGTGGAAGGGTGCTAC